TCTTTCTTTCTTTCTTTCTTTCTTTCTTTCTTTCTTTCTTTCTTTCTTTCTTTCTTTCTTCTTTCTTTCTTTCAAATATGCACCCATGAGTAGTGCAGATGAATGACAGGGCTCGAGAGTATTATTGCATTGATGTCCTGTTGGGAAATGCTTTTAAATCCGATCAGTTATCGTTTGAGTTTTGTTGTGAAGATTTGCGTCTCTCCATGCAAAATACGGCTTCCAAGCCAATTAAGTCACCTCAAAAGCACTCACCATTGTCAATTGGCCAAAATTGCAGTGAGGATCTTGCTTGTCATTGTGATTTATTATTGTTGAATGCTGCTGGTGCATTTCCATGGAACAGTTCTTCCTGTGCCTGTTGGCATTCATAAATGAAAGGCACTGCTTTGCTAATTGCTAATTGGAATTCTCTAATAACTTTTCTTACAGGAACTGGATTTTGAAGCCAAAACTAGTTATACACTACGGATAGAAGCTGCAAATAAAGACGCAGATCCTCGCTTTCTGAGCCTGGGGCCATTCAGTGACACAACCACTGTGAAGATCATTGTAGAAGATGTGGATGAGCCCCCCGTGTTCTCTTCACCTTTGTATCCCATGGAGGTGTCAGAAGCAACCCAAGTGGGGAATATCATTGGCACAGTTGCAGCACACGACCCAGACGCTTCCAACAGCCCTGTGAGGTAAAAGTGCGCTGCTCTTTTTCTATTTTACATCAACATCCCTGTATGCACAACTCATACTTCCATATTATAAGGCTTTTGGTTCATTGAAAATAAAAGGGGCTGGTGAGATGGCTCAGTAGAATAAGCTCCTCCCTGGTAAGTGAAAGGGCCTGAGTTCAATCCCCAGTTCCGCCAAAAAAAAAAAAAAAAAAAAAAAAAAATTCACTTACTATAGAGCCAGAGCAGTAGAAGTAAAATGGGGTCAGAATAATTCAATGTTTTAGTAATTCAAAATGTCATTCGGTTATCCAAGCCTACTGTGTAGAACTATCTGTAACTATTGTTATCCAGCACCTACAGCCAGTGTTTCCTTTCTGCCAGTTGTCCTGAGTCTTTCAAAGCAAATTGTGACCAGAAACGAAATGCAGCTCCTAATTGTAGCATAAGCTCATTATGTTAAAATACTAAAATTATCTAAAGTAAAGTACAATTAATTTAATACTACATTGAACATATTAATCTGTTTGGACAGTATGTTTTTTGTTTTCTTCAATGTATTTACTTATAAAAAAATAAATAATACACAATCTGTTTATACCAACTACTTAAAATATCCCTTCCCCAACCTCATATTTAGGCTAGATAGATAGTTGTAGCCAAATAGTCTCTTTAGGACTAACATGATTATAGCATGTAAATATTTCAGAATACCCTAACATTCCATTTTCTACCTTTACTTATAGTTCATAGTCTTATATCTGCCTGAGTGTTTGTTTGCCTGTGTGTATTAAATACTTCTTATATTTTGGGTGAATATTTTTTAGGGGGTGAATATTATGAATACATTTTATTTGAAAAATATGAATACTGTATTATATGATTTGAATTTGTTAAATGCTTCACTTGTCTTTATGAAAGTGTGGTTTTAATATAAAGACTATAAGGGAGAAAATCATATTGTTATATATTCAGTTCTATTCAACTTATATAAACTAAACTCATAAACAGTATCTTAAAATAGTTCATGCTTAGAAGCAAGATCTGGATATTGACCAAAATGTGTTACAAAAATATTTAAATATTTTTAATTTAGACAGTGATTCTTGCTTAGGAGTATTTTCTAATGTATTTTTCTCCCTTATACAATAAAATTATTATTTTAAGGTATAAGTTAGTTTCATTTTTCTTTTTTCTCATATTTACAGAACTCGTGAATTGATAATATGAAGTCCTGCTCAATCTTGCCTTATGTTTGAAATAAATTAGAGGGCCGAGGAGATAGCGTGGCAGTCTAAGTGCCTGCCTAGCAAGTGCAGGGACCCAGGTTCCATCCCCGGTGCTACATGCCATGCCAACCCCAATGTTGTGCCAGCCACCAAAACCAGTGTGGTGTTTCACATCTGTCATCCCAGGGCTGGGAAGGCTGAGACAGGGGATCACTGTGAGTCTGAGCTACATAGTGAGACCCTGTACAAAAACAAAAATAAATAAAAGACTATAAATAAATTAATAAATAAATAAAATAACTTAGAAATGAATGAATAACTGTGTTTTATTCTGAGAACTTTAACCATATCTGGGAATATCATCTGCACGCTAGGTGTGTCACAAATACTAGAATAATCTTATGATTTTTCCTTGAACTAGTTCAACTTTTGTTGTTAAAAAGATACCTAAATATGATCACACTGTGTCACCAGTCATGCCAATCATTTCTTTTTCTTTCTTTTATTTTCTTTTGCATGCTTTCCTCTTCAAATTTTTTCCATAATTTTATTGATAAACAAATAGCAATGAGACAGTTTCAAATCAAATTGGTAGGACAGTTTCAATAATTAACACATTGTATACATTCCTCCCAGTGGTTAATTGCTGTACAAGATGCGGACATGATATCCTATCTGCAAACACCATTAGAACAAATCACTCTATTCATTAAGAGAATGTAACTATATATCTATCCTAAGCACTTTGAATACGCAGATACAAAATAGACATTCGTCTGTATCCCATTTTTTTGTTAAGTTCCATTATTTGAATATTATAGGTGTGTAAACTCAGCAAAATATTCTAAAAGAGTCCAGTAGCCCATAATAGTATTGGGTCTTCCGCTACACTGGCAATGTCAGAAATTGTTAACCTGAGTCCCCTACAGCTCAACATAACAGCATGGTTTTACTTTTTATATGTCGTTTTTATACTTTTCTGCTATTGGTTAAGACCAAGGTAAAGCTGGACCTATGCAACAAGAGTTGTAGCTTTTGGGTCTGATAAGGTCAGTGAAATCCCCTCAGGATTTATCCTGAGATCCTGTACCTCATATTTTTTCTCAGTGTCAGCCATGTGGATGAGACACGGCCATTGCTTGGCCAATGTGCTCTCTGTAAAAGCCTGAGAGAGTGTTTTCTCCCCATGTGACTCTCCTTAGGCACACTCTACATCATGGCTCACTTTCCTCTTTGGCGCCATAATCTTCTTGATCAGAAAATTTGGGACACTACCGAGGTACATGACGTTACAGTACAAGTTCTCATATGTCCTGAGTCTTAATTGACCTTAGAAGGTTAGGGCCAAAATGTTGGCTTTCCTTGTAGCCCTCCTTTTTCTTTAATTTTGGTCTGCAAACTTAGGTTGTTAACCCTCCAGAAGATAAGCTTATTATTATTACCATACAACCTAGGCTGTTAAGCTTAACCTCACTATCTGTCTGCATATCAAACATCTTAGGCATTATATGGAACAGGTATTTTTCATCAAGTATTGATATGTTGAACTTTAAGCCCCTACAGAATATGATAAAAAACATTTAAAAATTAGAATATATTTTAAAAATAGGCATAAAGAATTAAATACTTCTTATGTTTACACATAAATCTCACCATATACAACCTTGAAGCAGAACAGTCCCACAATATTCCTTTTCCTGTCTTTTGCTTTCATTCACCCCCTCTCCCTTCTTTTTGAACAACCATCTACCCGAGAGACTTCACAGCAGCAACTGGTATGTCATGACAAGCAGACCGTATTCAGAAGACCAAAATCACAGGCACCCCAAGCATGAAACTACTGTTACAGATTACCATCTGCAGTGCAGTTGCTTAGTCCACAGGTATCAGTATATATAGTTAGTCAGGGTGAGAATGTTTCCAATTAACTGCTAAATTAAAAAAATCTTCTTTAGATTCTCAGGACCATTGCCTTGCTCATCTTCTACATATAACTGTATGTCTTGACATTGTCATGTTTCCTAATTCTTCTCCTTTCACTCTCTTGATTAGTTAGTCCTCGAGATCCTGCTTCCCTTTTACTTGTATTATACATTTCTATTTGTATTTCTTCTTTTGAGTTCTTATACTAGAGAAACTATATGATATTTATACATATGCATGCTGATCTTGACAAACTTGAATTTGTTTTTTCGTTGGTATATTCCAAAACCACTTTACAGAACACTTAGGCCTCCACCTTCATGAATAATAAACAATAGTAACCTTTTAGGCATAAATCAGCAAAGTATGAAAGGGGGACTCTGCTTAAATCATTTTACTTAATGTTTAGAAAGTGCAATATGTTTTATTGAAATTTGTGGATATAGACAATGTCCCAAACTCAGTAAATAGATCATAAATTAGTTCTCAAATAAATTGGAAAATTTAAAATATCTTGATTGGTAATGTTGGTATTCCTTACCTTGTTTTTAATTTTTCTTTATTCATTCCCTGTATCATCTTATTCATTCTGAAAAACCATTGTAGGTCTCATAATATTTTGTTTAGAAAAAATTACAATAAGATTATATAGTCATTTGAGGACAAAGCAGGAAGAATAGGCCCAAAAGGGCAGTCACTTTAGTTAGAGAGAGATGGCTCAAAGGCTGATGTTTGTTGGTAGTGGTACCAGGAATACAAAATTGAGGGGTTTTTTTGATGTGGCTGACTCAGCCCACCTTTTGGGGGAAGGTGCTGGCGCTGCATGTGGTGCTGGGGATGGAACCGTGGTCCCTGCACTTGCCTAAGCAGGCGCTTGAGACTGCTGAGCTATTGCACTGGCCCGAAAATTAAGGAATATTAAACTTTTAAAAAAAAGAAAGAAAAAATGAAAGTGACCTTTATTGTTTCCATTTTCTTAAAAGTAATAAAAGTGACCTGAATGTTCAGGTGGGATAAGTTTACATAATTTTCTCACAAATAGGTAAATTTTTACCACAAGTGTGCCACAATTTTGGTATGTGTAAACATTACTTCAGATTTTGTCATGTCTTATGCTTCATACTTACTATATTTTTGTTTTACATTATCTTAATTAAGATCAATACAGTTTTCTATAGCTTACCTTTCCTTTTTCCCCCAGCAGAAGTTGCATAGCTATCTAAATTTCTCCATAAAACAACAAAAATGAAAAAGCAACAGTGATGCCTACCTCATTATGGTTTTTTGGATAATTAAATAAATATATAAAGTAAATAGTGTTTTAAACTGTGAATCAACCAAGTATTAAATAAACTTAGATCCAGTGTTTGGCTAGCACCATGTAGTAAGATCATGAAATGTTACTTTTATTTTCGAATTCACTATCCAGCTAGTTTGTACACTTCGTTTCCTCCTCCTCCTCTTCCTCCTCCTCCTCCTTCTCCTCCTCCTCCTTCCCTTTCTCCTTTTCCTCCTTCCCTACTTCCTCCTCCTCCTGTTCTTCTTCCTCTTCCTCCTTCTTATATGGAACCTAAACTTGTACTCAAACATAAAGATGAAAAGTAGGTGATACTTGAAATTAGGAAATAAACTTTAGGGGCTGGGGAGATGGCTCAGTAGAATAAGCGCTTCCCTGGCCAGTGCAAGGGTCTGAGTTCAATCCCTGGTTGCGGAAAAAAAAAAAAAAAAAAAAAAAAGGAAATAAAATTTAAAACAAATATAGGTGGATCAGAGAAAGTACATTTAGTTCTGTTAATGTTAAGAAGCTGTTTACTACTGCATCTAAATTTTTACCCTGAATACTACATATGTGGCTATAGCTATTAGAAT